AGAAATCATTAATGCACAGAACAGGGTGACTTCCATATGTGAGGAATTTGATTTTTAATAGGTGAAATCCTGTAAATTAATCATGTGCCAAGTTTTGGACTATTACAACGGGAGAATAGGTTTTATCTGTTAGTTCATATAAATAACTTCAATTTTTTTACATTTGTTTATTTAATAATTTATTTAACTTGTGTTTGTATCTAAGTATTGAACTGGTGTGTGACATGGTATGCTTGTGGGAATCAGGACAGCTTGTGGAAGTTGATTCTCATCTTTTACCATATAGGTTCTAGGGATCGAACTCAGGGCATCAGGTTTGACAAGTGCCTGTACCAGCTAAACTATCTCACTGGCCCACAGCCTTTTAAATATTTGCATTTCAAAGACTAGAAGGCCTGGCATTCCTGGTGTGGATCTCCAGCTCCACAAATAATAAAATAAAGTAAAATACCTAAATATTTACATTTTTATTCTCCCATTCCAAATAGGGTCTTTCTAGAATTCTGTAATCTTAAATTTGTATTACAGCTTCTGCTATGTATCCATCTTTCCTGAGTCTCACACAAGTTCAAGATGCTTACACACACACACACACACACACACACCGTGCGTGTGTGCGTGCATGTGCTTGCACAGGTGTGCTTCTGTGTGTCTGGTGGATTTAAGGTTCACTGTGTTTGTCGTTGTTTCACTACTAGGGATCAACCCCAAGACCTCATGCATACTAGGTGAGCATACTTCAGCGGAACTCCATTCCCAGCCCCGTCCTGTATTTTAGTCATTTCCGTGCTCCGTTTTTTCTGTTTGGGCAACTTTTCAATGGTTCTGTTTAGCTTTCCTGACCCTTCACCATGTGCTCTTTTCCTTTCCTGCCATTCTAAACACTCTTTCTGGTATTTACTCATATTGTATTGATATTGGGTCAGTCATACTACCTCAGTGAGTTTAGATTCTGTGAGTTCTCAGAACTGTTTAGCTCATTTTATTTTTCCTTGATACTTGGTTTGCTTCTGAGTACATAAGCTAAAAAATACTTACTAGGCTTGGAAGGTGGTTGGTAAAGTGCTTGAAAGGCTATAGGATCTGAGTTGGGTCCCCAGAACCCACCGAAGAAATATCAGTCATAGTCGAGTATGTTTGTAATCCCAGAACTGGAGAGATGGACTCAGGAAAATCCTTGGAAATTTACCAAACTAATCTAGCCTAATTGATGAGCCCAGACCAGAGATCCTGTGTCAAAGATCAAAGATCTTCCTCAGGATAACACCCAAGGTTGTCCTCTGGCCTGCATATGCATACACATATGCATAAAAGAATTGTTGAGGCTGGCCGGGCGGTGGTGGCGCATGCCTTTAATCCCAGCACTCAGGAGGCAGAGGTAGGCGGATCTCTGTGAGTTCAAGGCCAGCCTGGTCTACAAGAGCTAGTTCTAGGACAGGCACCAAAAACTACAGAGAAACCCTGTCTCGAAAATAAAAAAAAATAAAAATAAAAATAAATAAATAAATAAATAATTCATTGATGTGAGATACCTGTGCTTGTTTGGGTCCTATCAAGAAGTAAATAAAAGCCTCATTGTTTTTGCGTTCAGCAGGAAAGTCTATTTAGGAAACAAAATTTAAGGGTTTTGGGTTTTGTGTTTTTTTTTTTTTTTTTTTTACTGTCTTTTGGTGGTGCTGGGGTTTCACCCCAGGGCCTCATATAAACTAGGCAAGCACTTAACTACTGCACTATTCTCAGGCCTCAAGTTCTTATTAGTGTAATATTTTATATGATCTATAATTTCAGATTTTCATTATGATTTGTTTTTATCAGCTCTGTAACTAATGAATACAAAGAAGTCAGAGGCAGTACCATCTTTTGAAGACTATGAAGTAAAGTGGTTTTGAATTTGAACCGAATTGCTAATGATACACTTTAATAGTCCAGAATTGCATAGATCTTCCATGTTTCAGTGTTTTCACAAAATAAATTGTTCAAATACAAATTGCATTAAATTTGCAGTAGTACCACTTAATCACAATGAGCGGCTGTTTCAGAACTATTAATACTATTTCATTGTTCATTTATTTTGTAATTAGAAGGAATATTGAGATAGAATACATGCACTGCAGTATTAAGTGGTTGTAAAAACCTCATTTTCTTCTCTTGAATGATGAATACTGCTTCCTGAAACAGGAACCCACATGTCTCCTTCTTGTACACATTGCATTCTTACTGATGTTTTGCTTTTGGAGTCTTTTTGGGTGAGTTTTATGGAGTAGGAATATTCTTTTGAATATATAGTCTGTTGTTGGAATTCGTTTGGATCCAGCAGTTGTTCTAGAATCTATTCTTAGTGGGGAGGGATTCCTGTAGAATGTCAACGTTTTCTTCAGTAGATTAATGGATTTTTCCTGGTACACTTTTGCTGTCCCTTTGCAGCCTGAGAACACTAGGGATGTTCTCAGTAGACTGAACTGTCAGAAGGAGAGAGCTAGCACTTAGGAACCAAGAAACATGGAATATGGCCTGTTGCAGACAGTGGGATTTCCCATACACTGGCTTCAGACATCCCTAGGGAACCAAACTGGATTGCTAGGACAAGACAGGAGGTGGGGGAAGATACTGAAGAAGAAGAAAAAAAAGAGAAGTCATTTTTAGGCAGTCTAAAATAAAAAGATTATTGCTAACTTTTTCACATATGTAACTCTGAGATGACAGTATCAGGCTCAGGGTGTAACTCAGTGGCAGAACGCTTGCATAGTCTAAGTGAGGTCCTGGGTGCAGTCCCCTGTCATCTCCAGTACGCCCAGTTTTGTAATAAGTAGAAATTTAAAATCAGAGAGGTTAAGAAGCCCATCACAGTTGCTTAGCTAGTAAGTAGTTGGTTTAGACTTGTAGCCCTTGTGTTGCTGATTCCATATCACACAGTTTCCTCTTGACTGCATTGTAAAAGTATGTGAGCCACAGGGAGAAAGGACACCACAGAAAATGGAAGTTTCATATAAGACAAATGTGCAGATACCTTTGGGTATTCTATAATCTGTATTTTCTACCAGGGCTTATATATAGCAGTCCACTTTGAAAAATAACAAAACACTAAAAACCGTTTTTTGGTTGCTCCATTTGGATATGGTTGGACAATTTCCTGAGACTTAAGAGGTTATCATAAAACATCTTTTCAATGCTTATATTTTAAAACAGCATAATTATCTGTGTAATAGATACTGCCAGAGGTAAACAATCTGCTTCAGAATTTTAAAGTTTCATCATGTGATGATTGTGCCTCTCAGTATTTGAGGAAAATCGTGTGACAAGCTTTTTTTCAGTTTAAGTTTTCTCTGATGCTGGGAGTCAAAGCTAGAGTTTTATATGTGTTACTCATCCCCAGCAATTTACACTTACTCTGTTATCCTTTCCACACACTCACACACGCCACCCTTTCTTTCATTAATGAAGGATTACTGTATTAAGGATGTAGGCGAGTAGCAGGTACCTGTCACGATACATTGTAGAATTGATACACCTCCTACCTTCTGTGTTTCTAAAGTCCTTTCATAGAAAATGTTCTTATTACGTCACCTCCCTGCCTCCTTCCTCCTTCATAAGAAAACTTAGTGAACAGAATTTAAGTGGGAATGGCTAGGTATGACTTTTCATATCAGTGACATCTTTACTTTTTTTGTTTGTTTGTTTGTTTTTTGAGACAGGATTTCTCTGTGTAGCCTTGGCTGCCCTGGAACTCACTCTGTGGACCACATTGGCCTCAAACTCACAGAGATCTGCCTGCCTCTGCCTCCTGAGTGCTGGGATTAAAGGCATGTGCCACAACCATGTGGTGACATCTTTACTTTTTAATTGACAAATACTATAAGCATCTGGGTTTTTTGTTTGTTTGTTTGTTTTGCTTTGCAGCATGCTTACAGAAAACAAACATTTTTCTATTAATATTCTTTCTTTATAAATTACAATTGTCCTTTATTACTAGCACCTAATACTTAGGTATGATTTGTTTGCCTGTGAGGTTACACTTTGGGGTTAGTGTGCTGTGATCTCCCTTTCTCCATTGTGCACACGGGACTGATAGTGATGGACTACAGGATTGATAGTGACCAACTACAGGAGGCAGAAGACCCTTTACCTCCCCCTGTCCCTGCCCCTGCCTGCTGACTGATGGTCTCCAACCCTGCCTTTCGTGGCTTCTTTCTCCCTGTAGACCACCCTTTTCTCTCATTTTGACTCATTATAAATGGGCAGGGGAAGTAGGGGCTTCTTTGTGGATTTGCAGAAAGTGTCATGTGTGGGATGAAAGATGGAAGAACTTAGTTCGACCAATTTAAATGTGTTTGTAAGTATTTGGAACAAAGTCTCTCTGAAAGTCTAGAACTGTGGCCATGTAACTTGTTGGACTAAGAGGTTATCTGGTGTCTCCCTGATTCTATATAATATATCTCAGTGCAGATTTGTAGAGTTACTTCTCCAGTAAAATGGAGGAATGATGTTTTTTCTTCATATCATTTTTCACTACTTAAATATAGGCCCAAATTTAAATTTTATGATTTCTTTGACATCTATTAAAAAGTTTATTTGCCATGCTTGCATTTCAACATGATCACTTGGTCACTGAATTAAAGATTAGTTTGACCTCCTCACTTACCCACAGGCAAAATTCCTGTTTCTTTCTGGTGGTGGTAGGATCAGCAGTGTGCTTAAAAGGTAGTAAGTGCAAATGGATGGCTTGGAAGACTGCTAGGCTGGGTTTCTATGTTTGCCTTTTCTCCTCTCTTATCAACCTACCTACCCTGGTTTTTACTGGCTTTTTTAAATTTTATCTGTAAAGTTAAAAAACAAAAAGTTTCCTTTGTTTTACTTTGTAGTACAAGTAGCATTTTAGTGGAGCCCCTTCTTTCTCCTACAGACACTGATTAGATTCATTGTGTTGCACTTTATGGAAATACATACAGCCTTGCTGCGGTGAGCTGTGGATCTGCACAGTGTTTGAAAGACAGAAAGACTTACTGATTTCATCTTTCATGTACTTTTCTTTTTGTTATTTAGTGGCTGATCATCTGGGCTGTGATCCTCAAACGCGATTCTTTGTCCCTCCTAATATCAAACAGTGGATTGCCCTGCTACAAAGAGGAAATTGTACCTTTAAAGAGAAAATATCACGGGCTGCTTTCCACAATGCGGTTGCTGTAGTCATCTATAATAATAAATCCAAAGAGGAGCCGGTCACCATGACTCATCCAGGTAAACAGGAAAGGGGGCTTCAGATTTTGTCTTTCTTTTTTTAAATTATTGGTCTGGGCATTCTTCTACCTTTGATGAAATCATAATCTTAAATGTAATTCTATGATTATATTAACTTTTGGTAGTGTCACTTGTGGAGGTGCATGTTTTTTTTCCCCTTTGGTTGTTTTTCTCTTTAATAATGTCCAAAACCATCTGTCACACTTCCTAATGACTGGCTCGGACTGAGCTCGTGGTGGTTTTGTTCTTCTACTCTTTGTGTGATGACTTCAGTTACCCTGTGCTTGATACGGGATCCCAGTAGGGATTCTTCCTGTGTCATTAAGTGTTGAATTAAGTTGAATTAAGTGTTGAATTAAGTATTGAAGCTGCCTTAGCAATGAGTACATACAGCCAATGAGATACCATTTCATTTCTTGTGTGAAGCACTTAGGGTAATTGTTTGTATAACAATAGTTGCAATTTACTGAGTATTAACATATATACATATGTATTATATATTATATATAATATATATATATATATATATACACCCACCACTTTGCTGTGGATTCTTAAGAGCATTTGCTTCTCTTGCAGAGAAGTTTGGTTACAGGCATCTGTGTCAGGTGGCTCACAAATGCCTGTAACTCCAGCTCCAGGAGATCTGATGCCCTCTTTTGTCTTCTGTAGCTCTGTGTGTGCGTACACACAGTATATGCACATATATACACATAAATAAAAATAAATTTTAAAAACAAATAGATGCTTGTGGCGGTCCTTGTAGTCACATATGATATAGATTCTTCCCCAGTCTTACAGATCAGAAGAATAAAGTCAGTAAGAGCCGGCAGAAGAAGGTTAGACCCAAGTTTACTAATGTGCATTCAGTTTCATGAGCTTGGCTCTGAGTATCTGGGGTTTAATTTAGCTTTAAATTCATAAATATTTATAATATAATGTCTTACTTAATAAATGATTTTTTTAAGGAAAACACCCTGGGTTTTGTTTGTTTTTACATTTGTTTGTTTGTTTGTATAGGGGGTTCAGAGAACAACTAGAGGGAATAGATTCTTAACCTTGCACAGGGTAGGTCCTGGATAGGTGGAGTCCAAGGATCTAAACGGTCAGCCAGCCTAGCTGAAACAGCAAACTTCTGGTTCAGTGAGAGACTCTGACTCAGAGCGGTAAGGGACGCAATAGAGGAAGATTCCTGAACCCTGCACCCACGTACCTCCATAGTCATATGCACCGCACCGCAACACACACAACACACACACACACACACATTGAAGAGCGGGAAGTTTGTCAGATAGTGTAGATTTCTCATCTGCATTCCTCACAATATCCATCCATTCTGATATGCTCTAGAGGACCCAGTAAAGAAAGAAATGTAAAGAACAAGCTTTGAGAAATGCTTGGATTAGTGTACTTGCAAAGGCTCTTCATGCTCATTGACACATTGAGGTCTTGGAGATGATTAGAGGGAATAATTCTTTGATAAAAATTATTTTCTGGGGGGTTGGAGAGATAGCTCAGTGGTTAAGAGCACTGTCTGCTCTTCCAAGGTCCTGAGTTCGATTCCCAGCAACCACATGGTGGCTCACAGCCATCTGTAATGAGATCTGGTGCCCTCTTCTGGCCTGCAGGCATACATGCAGACGGAATGCTAAGAATACTGTATGCATAATAAATAAATCTTTTTTAAAAAATTATTTTCTGGGCTTGTTTGACCACACAATTCTTAATCGTCGATTATAGTAACAACAAAAATAAAGAGGTTGAGAAGTAGAGTACAGGGTGAATTCCAGAGGAACTGCAACTTCTGTAGGGCAAACAGAATAGAGGTGAACATAAGGGCAGTAGCAAATGGCATTTCATTGTGTCTAGAAATGTCTTATGTCAGTCCCATTTAGAGAAACCTTAAAAATCAGTAATAAGTAAACTTAATGTAACAACAGACAAAGGATTTAGTGATTAGACATTTCAATAAGCATTAGAAAAAATGCAGTCTAAACAATGAGATACTGTTTCACACCCATTGGAGTAAATGTAACTGCTGTTGGGAATGTGGAGCCAGCTTGGAAAACAGTTCAACAGTTTCCCTAAATTTAAGCATAAATTTATCATATGAACCAGCAGTCTTATCCCTAGCAGTCAACACAAGAGAAACAGAAAAAAGAAAGCAAACGAGAGGGGAAAGTGTACACAAGGACATATGTTTAAATGTCCCCGTAGAGTATTTCAAATAACCAAACTGGAAACAACCAGAATACCCATCAGCTCATGAGTAAGTAAACAAAACAATATATGTACATAGACTGAAATGCAGCTTATCAGCTAAATGGAATTAACTGGGCTGAGAGAAGATTGTGTGAGCTAGGGCCAGACTAAGCTATTGACTTTTAGGCCAGCCTGGACTACAAAGTGAGACCTTGTCTCAAAAACCGTATTGATATATGGATAAACTTCAGAAATAGTATGTTAAATAAAGGGAGCCAGACACAAAAGTCAGCTGTTACCTGGTTTCAGTTTATATAAAACATCTTGGAAAGTCAGCTTTAGAGAAACAGAAAGCAGGATTAATGGGTGTGAGTGACAGCTATTAATTGAATGTGGGGAAACTTTCTGGGCATGATCAAAATTTTCTGAACTTGGATTGTAATAATTGTACTTTGATGAACTTACTGAGTTATGCACTTAGAAAAGATCAGTATGGCCTGGAGAGATGGCTCATTGGCCAACTGTACTCACCGCCTGTAACTCCAGATCCAGGGGACATGATGCCCTCTCGCCTCTGTGTATACCTGTACTCGTGTGAACATATCCATATGTAGACACATTTTTTAATCTTAAAAAAAGTATAAACCTATGGCATATAAATTTTATTTTATTAAAGCTATTTTTAGTGCATACTAAAGATCAGAAACAACATAAAATAAATTTCTGCTGAGAACTTGTCATTTTATTCTAACACTGAGGGAACATGAGACAAAGCAAAGAAAACTGACTGAAGGAGATAAAGCCACAGGAATACTTAGTCTGCTTCCTTTTACTATAAAGGATACGACTGCGACAGTTGACAAAGTAAGAATCTTTTTTGCTGTTTGGTTTTGTTTTGTTTGAGACAGGGTTTCTGTCTGTAACCACCCTGACTGTCCTGGAACTCGCTCTGTAGTCCAGGCTGGCCTCGAACTCACAGAGATCCACCTGAAAATAAGATTCTTTAACTAAACAGTTCTGAGTTATATGTCCTCAAATATTCTTACTTTGATACATCATCAAGTGTTTATGAGATAGTCTGTTGTTACTTTTACCCCTATTTTAAGTGCCCAGAGGAGAAATTAAAAACCTATAAAGATAAAATCTATTTTTTAAAAGTGGGCAGGTGTAAGCCAGGCAGTGGTGGTGCACACCTTTAATCCCAGCACTCAGGAGGCAGAGGCAGGTGGATCTCTGTGAGTTCGAGGCCAGCCTGATCTACAAGAGCTAGTTCCAGGACAGGCACCAAAGCTACAGAGAAACTCTGTCTCAAAAAAACAAAAACAAAAAAGTGGACAGGTGTAAAATAGAGAAGTGCTTTTCCTCCTAATAGTGAGGACGTGTCAGGTGTCTTTGAGGGTTAAACTGAAAGATTAGTGACAGACCCAAAAATCTGCTTTTTGGTCAGATAATAGGCTGAAGTACTATTAAGATGTTTTATTTAAACAAAAGTTACATAATTATTTAGATAAAAAGCATAAATATAGTCTTAATAAAATTCAGTAGAAATAAATCTATTCATTGAAAAGATTTCTGCAATATAATTTTATTTAAAAGACTTGACAATGGTATGCCTTTTTATTTGGGAATTTGGCAATTATCTCTAAGAAGGCTCATCTTGGCGTATAAGAGGCCTCTAGGTTGTTTCTTGATAGAAGAGTTTTTGCACTGTTTTGTTTGAACTCCTAGGCTGTACTCATTGTTTCCTGCTTTTCAAACCAAATAAATTTTGCCTCAGTCTGTTACATACTCACTGTCTTAGTTACAGTTTCTATTGCTGTGAAGAGACACCATGGCCACAGCAGCTCATATAAAGAAGACGTTTAATTGAGGTGGCTCACTTACAGTTTTGTAGATTCAATCCATTTTCTCATGATGGGGAGCATGGCAGCATGCATGCCTACATGGTGCTGGCTACATCTTTACCAGAAGGCAACAGAACGTCAACTAACAGTCGTACTGTGTGGTATCCTGAGTATAGGAAGCCTCAATCCCCCCCCCCCCGTGACACATTTCCTCCAACAAAGAAAACCACACCTCCTGGTAGTAGCACTCCCTTTGGAGGCCATTTTCTTTTAAACTACCACATTCATCATCAGAAAAATATGACAGTGATTTACATCTGGCTTACTGATCTCCATTTATAGTTACCCCTGCTTCTTCTATTTTGTTCTAGTCTCTAACTCATGTCTAAGAGTTTATCACAGGACTGGGGGAGTTTGCTTGCCTAGTAAACCTTATAACTGGAGTCCAGATCCCTAGAACCCATGTAAAAACTGTACCCAGTAACACAACCATTTGCAATACCTCTACCAGGAGATGGCAGGCAGAAATAGACCTTAAAATTTCGCATTTTAAGTGAAGAACTGTCTTTTCTTGCCTTGGCCGTGCTTTCAGAGCTGATGTGTTCGCCTCATGAATGCCCTTAATCTGGTGACTAAAGGACATCTTCTGATGCAGAGTCTCCAGTATCAGTGACAGGAAAGACATTCAATATGTGGTTTTCCTTTAGCTCCTGTTAGCAGAATGAGTTCTTTGTTGTGTAGCCAGCGGATGTGTGTGGTAGTGTAAGGGAATTACAGGCTCTTGGATAGTAGAAATAGAACACATTTGCCTAAAAACTAAGACTGAATTTACTGGTTTTAGATTTTTAAGTAGATTTTACTGCTGTTCTTTAGTAGTCTGAATGCAGTCTTATCAGATCATTGTTTAGTTGAAATCTACATCGAGACCTGTAGTCTTTAGCCATATGTAGACAT